GCACACACTACTTTCCTGTCACCAAAGTCTGTCCACAACATTTGCAGCGTTTTACTTTGAAATCCTTCTTTAATGACTATCACACCGCCATTTCTGCATAAAAAACAGCCACGATACAAAGACAGTATTCATTAACTTTGCATGGAAGCAGGAGGACTTTTGATTTCAACAAAGATAATGTCTCATCGAACTCATTTCCACAGTACATTGCATTGAGTCAATTACCTGGCTTTGGCACCGCCTGAGGCTGAATGATGCTTGGCAGCCAACGTCATGTAATAAGAGGCTTGGTGTGCTATTTAGCAGCCATTCCTAATTACCACTTCATTCTAATTGCAAAGCCAATCCACAGTCCATCAAGAATTCTATTTAGCTATATAGGGCTTGATTGAGGAACCACCTATTCGCGCAATCTATACATTCTTATGTAGATAAAGCTGTTGTCTCCACAATTGTCCGTATAGTCTCTTTGCAAAGTACGAGATAGGGGCACCTGGCAGGAGGGGATGTGGGCTTGAGATTCCTACTTTCTGTATTCTAGCCCAAAGAGTACGCGGCATGGTATCTTGCTCACCTGCCGACAGACCGATATCTTCCTGGTATCACAGAACGCAACAGGACAGTGCCTCAAATACAAGTCAGTTATACATAATCCTTACTACTTACAAAAGTGGACCACGATCTCGGTGGCTTGGTGATCAGTTCATATCAATTCTGCCTACAGCTCACCTCTCCTGTACTTTTTCGATTATGTTTTAGCGTAGTGTGTGCTTTCTTAAGCATTCAGATAGTTGTTATCCTCCACATGGGTGTAAATGCACGGAGCAATTGAGATGTAAGCAGAATTGATATGAACATAAAACGCATGTATGCGCGTAGGCGATGTAGTTCTACAGTGGTATAATGCCTGCCCTGACCATTTAGCAATTTACTCAAACTCCTTGCAGTTTGCTGAAAGCGAATCAGTCTCTATGCACCATTAAATTTAAAATTAAATCTCCTAATAACTACTTTAGCACCCTACGGATAATTGAATTTTTCAGTTAGAATCGTACCTTGCCTTATGTACTGACACATCAACTGGGTGAGTTAAAATGCACAACCGGTTAGTATTAACCTGCGCGATTAAGTCGCTTAAGTGCCTTAGTTTCTCCACGATGGGCTTGACTGAGTGGGTACTTATCCCGACCAGCTCATATGAGTTAAGGGGAACAACATGAACATGAACAACGAAACAGGTGAGTAAATAAGTGGGTGAGTGACGTGATAAATGCATGGACAGGGTAAAACTTGAAGAAATTTTCGATCGCATGATTTTAATGCTTTGCAAAAGAAGTTGACGTGATTTTTCATTTGCGCTGTTTGTGGGTTAAGGACTGTGAGGAAAAAAGGGGCTTGTTCCTCGCCTCGAGGTGCGAATTGATAGAACCTGCCTGCAACATGCGGAACGAATAAATGAGGGGAGCATCCGAACTCCATCGGCTGCATAACAAAAACAAATGACATAGTAAATAAGAGAATCAGGGTGTGGATATTGGAAACGATATGCATTGAATGTACCACCTATGCAAGATAAACGAGCAACCCATTTTATT